TTTATATGTCAAAACAAGCACTTTGAATTGGGCCCGGGCAGCAACTGGTAGCCAATGTAACTTATACAGAATCGGCTTGATATGTTCCCTGGCGGCCACACCACTCACCAGCCGCGCCGCTCGATTCTGGACCAGTTGCAGTCGCCGGACCGTCTTCAAAGGCAGCCCCACGTAAAGCGCATTGCAGTAATCTATACGGGATGTTACCAGTGCATGTGTAACTGTCATGAGACTCCGCTCGTCCAGGTAGGGCCGTAGCTGGTATAGTTTCCGCAGCTGGAGGAAGGCGCCCCTGGCCACCGAGTCCACCTGGGCTTCCAATGCTAGACTGGGGTCCAGGAGCAACCCCAGGCTGCGGACCCTGTCCCTTAGGGGGAGTGTAACCCCATTCAGGGCAGGGAGATGGCTCTGGTATCTTTTCCCCTTCTAAGTAACCATTACGGATGTGCTCATTATTACACTCGGGTGTTACTTAACTTCTTCAAAACTGGGATATTTCTTGTTTTGCATTGTTAGAGCTATATGGCACATGGAGTTTCCTTCGGTTACCAGCATACCTGCAGGCAGAGGAGCCGACATTCATAGCTTCTGTGACTATGATTGTAGCTCTGGTATCTTTTCCCCTTCTAAGTAACCATTACGGATGTGCTCATTATTACACTCGGGTGTTACTTAACTTCTTCAAAACTGGGATATTTCTTGTTTTGCATTGTTAGAGCTATATGGCACATGGAGTTTCCTTCGGTTACCAGCATACCTGCAGGCAGAGGAGCCGACATTCATAGCTTCTGTGACTATGATTGTAGCTTTTTTCTCCAGCATTGTCCCCAAATAATTTCTCAAGGCGAAAGATCTTATTTTTCTGGTTTTGCCTAATTATGAGTTTCCGGAATAATTATTCCTGTTGAAAAGCCACAGATTCAGCACTGGCCTACTGAATTCTGGCTAAGATGAATAAGAAATATTCTTACAGTTAAAATTCTAAACGTATTGGCGGAAGAACAGTAAGGGTAAGGTCAATACATGAACTCAAACGTGTTGTTCTTTTTGAAGGCATTTTGATTGTCATATGTAACAGGGATTCGACTCCCCAAATGAAATGTGGAAGGAAATATATGTTTCCTCCTTCCTTCTAAAATTGGTCAGCACCTTTATTTAATCATGAGCCCTGTTATTCCTAAAACAGAAACTAGCGCAGAAATGAAGAATTGGGAAAAGTTTAATGTCAATTGCTTATCTTTTGGTTAACATTCCTTATGTTTGTGATTGTTGTGTCATGTAAATTGAAGAAAACATAGGCATTTTACCAGGTAGATAAGCAGATGTGTGTGAGAGAAAGGGGGAAGAGGGAAATGAAATCAGTTTACTTATCATGTATGTACAGTGCTTCCTAAGGTGTGTATATGGAAGGGGGGAGAAGGTCTGTTTCTCATATCACATGCTTTTCTTCACCTCCACATCTTTTACAGTATGTGCATTTTTTGTGTTGTGACTGGTCAATGGAAGGTAAACCAAATTTTTCTTCCCAAATCTGATTGCTGGGGCATGTACCTCTGAAGAAATCAACCAGAAGGAAAATGTTTTATTCACCGGAAATACGCATTCCTTTTAATATTTACTTTGACCCTGGGATTCTGGAGCAACTGGCTCCAGATATTGGAGCAACTGCCAGATCCAAAGCACAGTTGGCTTGTTGGCCAAGCAAGGAAGGATTCCTCCCCCCCTTTTTTAAAGCAACTTCTCCTGCTTCTCTTGTGGACAGTGCAAAAGAATTATGTACACCAGTTCCCAGACCCATCTTCAGTGTGTCAGGAATCAACAGACTTTAGGATCTTAAAGATTCTTGACTGCTCCTGCCCTCCCCAACATCCCATGTTAGTTCTGATGCCATCAGAACACAGGAGAATGTCTGCATCTGGAGGTCTGCAGGAGCGGCTTTTTGACTGCAGGAAAAACAATGTATGTCTATCATGGATTTCTTTCTAAACAGAACTTTTGTTTTAAATAGCGCTATGCCACATTTTAAGGCTAAACCCTTCCAAAGCAGTGTGTGAATACAAAAATAAAACGGTTTCATGCTGTTCAGTTGTTCACTGCAGAGAGAACGTAGGGCATGATGGCGCTTATACATATTATAAAGCAAAGCCAAAAAAAGGAAAGCAAAACAAACACCACAATACTCCATTCCACTAAAGATGCTGTGGTTTTGAAAGAACTGTTGAAGACATTTCATAATCCAACAACACCTACAGTTCTACCACTCGTTCAGAACATTTTGTACAACAGCACCAATAGAAAATATTAGAATTCAGAAATTTAGTTCAGCCTCTCAGCTAAGAGCAGTTTGAAATAAATGGGGTGTTTTTGGAAGACAGCCTCTTGATATTTTGTCTCATTGTGTACTTGCAGTAGGTTGTCTTGATGAAGTACCTTCGCTACCCATTCTGAAAAGGAAAAACCACGGCTTGTGTATTAAATTGTGCTCCATTATTTCATCCTGATAGCAAATGAAGGGAAACAAAAGCACCAGAGAGCTAACAAAATCCATTAGGACTGACCCTTTATTATCATAAGATTTGTACTTGCCTACAAGCTGCTCCAAATGCTTTGGTTTTGAAAAACAAAGACAAGTGCGTTAAAAACGAAAAACACTTCTTTAGCAGAATCTTGGGAGTTGCTGTATAATTTGTCTTGTTATGTTTTTACAAGAATAAGCTTCTTCTTGTGTATGCATTGCTAATATTAGAATAAATAGAAGAAAAGAGACAAAGTGAACTGAAATCTCACCATCTTCTCCCCAAAGAGCAAAATTACCAAGATGCTTTTGCCTTGGTTAGTTTAAGTTCTTGGCAAAAGGATAGAAAAGCAATTAAGGTTCATCAATATTTTCATTTCACTGGTCTGCTCTCTTCCCCAGGCAATACAGTATTCCAGTCCTGTGCCTAATCTCAGCCACCTATCTCAAGTCTAGTGATGGAAAGGCTGGCCATCTGTCCCAAGTTATTAAAATGGAATCCTGGTTTGTATGCGTTTTTCAAACTCTCTTTGGCCTTATTTGTATCGATGTTTGTAGTTTTTAGACTTAGCCTCTTACCAATGAGACTACAATAGCCACTTCCCCATCACCGAAGAGCTGAAATCCTGGCTGAAACCTTGTTGCTTTGCAACTCCTCCATAAGTTCAAATGGATCTACCCTAGTCATGACCTCTCACTAGAGCCAACTCCTCCAAAAGTTCAAATGGATCTACCCTAGTCATGACTTACTATGCTAAGCAATGGGATTCAGCCACTGTTGCAACCCAATTGCAGAGACTGAGATGCAGTGAGGAAAACAAAGAAGTATTTGTAGTTACTTCAACAGAAATACAATCCTTTTCCCTACATCAGAGAAGACCATGATCCAGTGATAAGTGTCTGCCAGGATTAGAAATACCAAAGCCATTGGGTCAGCTTGCTAGGGGATTCCTGGAGATGGAATTCAGAAAAGTAACTTTTCCAAGCTCTGGCTGATTTATACGTATAACTACTGTACTCTCAGTGTTGCTGGCTGCTTGTTCCCTAATAGGTACTGTACTAACTACTGTACTCTCAGTGTTGATGGCTGCTTGTTCCCTAATAGGTACTGTACCAGACATATGTTGAAAAGAAGTCATCTGATACCTTGCTCATTCATCCAATTCATCAATCACCCTAAAACCATAGTTTTGTTGTGGCATACAAAATAAAACTGATTAAAAACACAATTCTAATAGAAAGAAAAATGGATTAAAGCCCATTGTTTTCAATGATTGACTCTGGATTCAACTCTATCGTTCTGAAGGGACAATTTCGAACAGAGATGCAAGATAAAGACAGCCAGAGTTTGAGGTGCCACTATGCAGTTCTCACAATGCGGGTCCACTAGGTGTTTAGAACTGGGATTGGAAACTGTAGCAAATCATTCAGCTTGCCTGGATTCTGCACGAGGAGCATGTCCTGGATTGGGCTGATTTGTCTTGGGTCTCCGTTTGAGGACACTTGTACCTTCTCTCTCCCTAAAGCTAATCAGACTGGAACAAGTGTTTACTGTCATTCACATAGTAAATTACAGTAGAGTAGGTCACTGAATCAGGCAATGAGCTTACTGTAACTGCAACTTACTCTGCCAAAGTAGGAGTCACAGAGCAGGCTCATTTGAAACAACTGAATTTATAGAGGAGTTCACTCACCCAATCCCCATTGATTCAGTGGGCCTGTTCCAGTGTAATTTGTTACACTAAGCAACAGAATTTTTGACCAGTGAGTGATGTCGCCTGTTGCTCTATACAGAAATAAATTGAATTCAATAAATACCGGGTATTACTGACCCCCTCCTCTCTCACTCATGCAACCAAGTGATACAAACTGGCCCCCAAAACTAAAGATGATGGAGACCATTTGGATAAACAAGTAGTTCTTTACTGTCAAAGTATACCTGACAACCACATTACAAGATATGTAACGTAATATTATTTTTTTAAAGGGAGAGATTTGAAGATGAGGATCACCTAGCCCAAAATATATGTATTTTTAAACGTCAACATAAGGCACAAAGCTTAACCATCTGGTATTCTGCAAAGCCCCCAAACTTGCAGTACAGCGATAAAGAAACAAAGTCTAAAATGTATAAATTCTTAATAACTTAATACTGTACAGTGGTGCCCCGCTTAACGCTTACCCCGCTTGACGATGAATCCACTTCACAATGAAGTTTTTGCAATCGCTTTTGTGATCACAAAACGATGTTTTAATGGGCAAAACCTGCTTTACGAGGATCAGTTCCCTGCTTCGGGAACCTATTCCTCACATTACGACGATCAAAACAGCTGATCGTCGGGTTTTCAAAATGGCCGCCGGATGCTCAGAATGGCTCCCTGCTGTATTCAGGAAGGAATTGTTTGCTGCACAGGCATGGAAAATGGCTGCCCTATGGAGGACCTTCGCTGGACGCGGAGGTATTTAGCCCATTGGAACGCATTGAACCAGTTTTCAATGCATTTCAATGGGCTTTTTAATTTCGCTTGACGAAGATTTTGCTCTACAGCGATTTCGCTGGAACGGATTATCCTCGTCAAGTGAGGCACCACTGTATATAGAACCGAAGTGCTTGAGGTATTAAAATACAGTCATAAAGAGATACATCCTCTTTTCCACCTATGTTACTTGACAACTGTGTTCTCTGTTACAAAGAAGGCTTAAGGCTTGGATGTGTTTTCCACATTCAAAAAAGCACTGTTAATTTCACCTCCCATTGGGTAGAAAAGTTTTGCCTCCTGCTGGGTAGAGACATTTACAACTCTTGAGTTTTAACAAGCTATAAAACCAGCAGATACAAAGGTACCCCATGTTTTACACAAAATATCCATCTGCTGACCTAGAGTGAAGATAAAGCTGGAGAAACAGAATGACCTTCTGTCGTTCAGTTGCTGAGTTACTCAGCACATTTAATGAGAACGCAGTTGTTACAAGGGCAATCAAGAAAGAAAAATCAATGTCCAGTTCCAATAAGCAATAAAGAAAGCCTTGTCCATTTCGGCAGGCTGTGGCCCTGTGGGAATAGGCATCTCTCCCTGGGATGTGTAGGATGCAGGAGAAGACGAGCCTTCTGCGCTGAACATGGACCCCCAGTGATGACAGGTAAACATCCACAAATGTCACTGTTCCGAAAAAGTGCCCTTTTAAGCTCAGCTCAAGGAAGCACTCCAAGCATTAGTCCAATTTATTCAGTCTCCTCACTAGTAGCATCCTGGTATAAGGCTGAAAAGCGAATTGGCTGAATGCTGCTTCCATTAGCGAATTTTTTTACTGACAGCCTACAAGTAAGAGAGAAAGAGAAAATATATATATATATATATTTCTTTTTTTTTTAAAAAAAGAGTAAGATCATTATTAGAATAACAGAGTACCAAGTGCGGTGTACAGTATAATAAGAAGTTATGACAATAACAAGGCATTGTAATGGACCTAACATGTATATAAAGTAATGATAACATTTTACAACTTCGTCATTGTAGTTTGTGTGTTGAAGTTCTGTGCATGCAGTTCACAAGCCTGATAGTTCAGTGAAGAGAAAAAGGATGACTGTTTCAAGTTTCTCCATGTATTTCCATGAGAGGTGAGCACCCTTCTATTAACAGTTGTTTTAGGATGCCGCACTGATAAATAAATACTAGGTGGTGTCAGTGTTGTTTGGAATTGAGTGACATTTTGTCTTATGTGCCTGTACAACGCTAGTTTCCAAACATAATTACAGGAGGAAAAGAATTCTGATTTCAACAGCTCACACAAAATGCAAAGTCTTATAGGTTACCAGGTCTGTTATTCAGAATTTCTAGAATATTTCTCATTAGAATTCCTAGTTCTCCTCTGTCTTGAAGTGCTCCTGCCCACAGGTCTTCTTAAAGCTTTTCCATGGCAGACCATGGCCAGAATCCAACTAAATATTTATACCAGTACTAACTGCAATGGTTTAACTCTGAAAGGGCAAATATCGAGAAATAATGAGTCTTCAATTGAATTTCTAGTTGTGTGCAACAGCATAAAGATCCATTTGGATTTGTTTTTGTTTTTTTACTTTGGTTAGTTGGTTATGTGTTGTCAAGTCAGACCAACTTAAAGCAATCCTAATAGGACTTTCAAGTAAGATATTTGATTAGTTTTACCAGTTCCACTCCCCCCAGTGTGTTCCTACGGCCAAGTGGGGATTTGAATTCTGGTCTCCAGAGTGCTATCCATTACACCAGAGGTCCCCAACCCCCGGTCCAGTGCTGGTCCGTGGCCTGAGCCAGACCGGGCTGCGAAGACAGACCTCCTGCTCTCCCCCTGCACGCACTCACCCCCGCACAACCTGTTTTCACCTGCGTGTGCACGTGAGCGCCATGCTGCTGTTTGCGCATGTGTACGAGCGCCTGCACAAATGCCGTGCGGGGGGTGCTCCGCCTTCCCCAGCCGGTCCACGGGGTGAGAAAGGTTGGGGACCCCTGCATTACACCACACTGAGCAGTCATATTTTGACTTTGACAGAGGCATAATGATGTGATTTTCATAGCATTGTTTTTTAAAGTGGTTCCAGTATATGGAAAAACAAGTGGTTACCTTTATGCAGAAAAACAAAAGCTTAAAGCAAGCTGTATGTGGATACAACTAACCATGGTTACCACAGCACGTTTCCCCCATGCCTACTCTGCACAACTTTTCATACCTTTCACTATTTCATAGGGAAAGTGTGCGTGCATGTGTGTGCGTGCGCATGTGTGTGGGTAGGCTGCTAATATATGGAAAAGTTTCCTTTTGGTTGAATTCTGTGAGCTGTTGTGTTTTATAAAAACCTTTGCTTTCTTGGAGCATCATAGAAAAAGCTGACCAATCCCAGTCAAACAGACTGAACTGGCTCAAAAAACTTAACAGGTTTAGCTCCCAAGTAAAAACTTTTTAAAAAACAATAAAATATCAAGCTTTCAACAGTAAAACATGTACTATCATCATCAGGATTACAAACAGCTGAAAGCTTGATCTTTTATTGTTTTATTGAAGTTTTTACTTGGAAGCTAAACCTGTGTAGATTTTTGAGCCAATTCAGTCTATTTGACTGGGATTGGTCAACTTTTTCTGTTGTGTTTTATGTTTTAATGTTAAGTTGTTCTGAACATCTTATGTTGTAAAATGATTTTATATGGCACTGTAACCTGCTCTGAGAACCTGTGATTATAGGGCAGGCTATATATGCTTAGCTGGCTGGATAGCTCAGTGGTTTAGGTATCTACCAGCAAAACCAGAGGTTGAGAGTTTGATCCTCCACTGTTTCCTATGAGTAGAGCCAGACTGAGTGGCCTAGAGAAAGTTGCTCAGTCCTAGGGCGCGCCAGAAGAAAAGAATGGGAAACCACCTCTGAGTTTTCTCTACCTTAAAAATCCTAAAAAAAGGTCGCCGTAAGTCGGAATTGTCTTTGATGGCACATGATGATGATGATTATACAGTGGGGTCTCGACTTATGAACTTAATCCGTATTGGAAGGCACTTCTCAGGTCGATAAGTTCTTAAGTCGAATCTGCATTTCCCATAGGAATGCATTGAAAACCATTTAATCCGTATCTGCTCTTTTCGTTCATAGAAACTAATGGGAAGCTGCTATTCTGCCTTCTGCCACTAGAGGGGGATATTTTTTCTTTTTTCCTTTTAACCTAAGATGACAGCTTTAAAAAAAGGGGGAAAAGAGTTCATAAATGCGCCAGAAGAAAAGAATGGGAAACCACTTCTGAGTTTTCTCTACCTTGAAAATCCTAAAAAAAGGTCGCCGTAAGTCGGAATTGACTTTGATGGCAAATGATGATGATGATACATGTTTTAAATAAATAAATAAGATCTGGACCCCACGACATGTTTTAAATAAATAAATAAGATCTGAAAAAGAAACTCTTCCACGCCGTGAACATGTATCAAGGATTGTCATCCATGTCTCCATGCCACTTGTGCTGCAGAGGGCTCTGCTTTCCGTGCCGCAGTTCGGAGGGCCATGGCAGAGTTCTTCACACCCCCATACCTAAATAGCCAAGGCAGCCTCTGCCTAACTCTGGTCTTCTCAACATTTAAAAGAAATGTGTATAGCACAGTCCTATTAAAGTTACAGTTGCTACTGATGCTGAGCAGAAAACCATTTATCACCTGAAAAGTGATTCACCACTTACCGTAGAATGGGCCAGCAGTTAAGCAGAGTTGTAAGGGACATGTAGAGAACACTCAACACACCGGACACGGCCAAGGATACCACACCTAATCCACCGAGCACACAGAGCAGTGTAATACCGCCCAATGTTATTAAAAAGCCTGTCAAGAGAAAACAGCAGCAAGGTATACATGGCTTGGAGAAACAGCCCAAAACCTCTACATACAATAGGGTACATTTCTATTCTTGCTCAGGCTTATGGTGGGGAAAACTTCTGCCATGTCAAAAGCAACTTACATAGTCCTGCTTCTTAAGAACCACATGCCACTAGGCCTTGAGAAAGGAGTAGATAATGAGGAGGTGAAAACTGTGGATGCCATCTTGAACTCACTCAACAAAAAGCAGGGCAGTAAATGTAAATGCATAAATAATAATAATAAACCTGAACTTAGTTTGAAAGGGAAAAAACCCCCACAGAGCTAGCTGGCATGAGTGTCGGTGTTCTTGCAGCCATCATGAAAGCGTCACCTACCTCTTCTATGGAAAGATGAACAAGAGTATAGCCTAAGGAAGATCAACAATTGTATTCAGAAAGTCAACAGGAAGAAATATACAGTACTTGGGTTTATCCGACTATTATTCTCTGTGTCCCTTCCTGTATTCAAGTTACTTGTTATAGGCAAGTGTCCAACTTCCAACAATGAGGAGATACAGCAGCAGGCTCAAGAAAACCCAATGATATCCACAGGGACTAAAGAAGTTTTTTAAAAAAAAACAAAACAAAACTGGGAATTGCAGTTACATCTCTGGACTTCAAAACCCAGAATTGCTCACTGTCTGGGGGATTCTGGGAGTTGCAGTCAAAAAGAGCAATGTTTTACAGTCTCAACTCTCTAGACAGGCAAATGCCTAACCTGAACCTCCTGGGGGTCTGTCTATTTCTTTGAGTGAGGAAAACAGTCCCCCTTCGATGGCTCGGAGCAGACATATGTGGAACAAGACCGCACCCTTAATGTTAACAAAACAAGGATTTTAAATTTAGGTGGTCCACTAGGCTAAACATTTAATTAAAGCCAAATTGGTAATCATATTTGCGGTTGGAGGAAAGGGCATCCTTGCTGAAGTACAATTTTGTGGAAGGGTTTCCTCTTCTTGTGGTAGAACTTGCCCAGGTGGTTGCATCATGGTATTTCCAATACCAAAAAGAAAAAAGTAGCTTTGTAATCTGCCGAAAACAGTATTGTTTGGGCTTATATAATATTTATACTGAAACTTTTAAAAGTTAATAATGCAAGCTTTTGAGTATAAATGCATAACATCTGCCCCGCCTCCCTTTTGTTACTATATGCTTTTTCCCCTGCCCACAAGTTTTACAGCATCTCCACTTGATCTATAGTTCTGGTAGAACTCAAAAGCTTATCTTGTTTGCAACTTCTGTTTATAGCCTTTTAGTTACTAACTAGTTACAAACACCTTTAGTTACAGATACTTTACCCATGCTAGAGCTTTGCTTCTATGAATAGATCACTCAGCTAGGGTTTGTGGGAGAAGGAGGGTGTTTGCTGTTGGAAATCTTAGAAAGGAAGGGAACCAGGAGAGGGACTGGGTAGGAAGGTAAGATTT